GGTACTTAAATGTTTTGTTTTTTAAGTAGCACAATTAGGTCATATCTCTATGTAGTATGAAGCTTTTTTCAACCCTAATTTGCATTGTAGGACGTAGTGAATTTGTCTTAAACCAGCAGTGACAGGTCGCAGCGTTCCGTGTTACGGAACACACGGGTTTTTTTATTTTTTGGTTACGTCAGACCAAAAACAATAATAACGGTTTTAGCGAACTTTCAGCCCTGATGTGCTCTTTGCAAAAACGAAAAAGTAGTTCCAAAAATCCCTTGAAACGGTTAACTTCCCCTTTAAAGTGACATTAACGCCGAAAATTTAAAAGGGGATCCTGCGTAAAGATTGTCAAATCTGACAGGCGCATTAATTTTCAAGCTTTCTCCGGGAAGAAAAAATAGTTTCCGATTGGTCGAAGAATTCTAAACAGATTTATAAATATACATTCTCCATGATTACTTACATCAGTGTTAAACAACAGGTTTACCGTGAACAAAATATAGCGAAATTAATAAGAGATTAATACACGGCAGAGTAGGGCCGGAAGGTGATAATCGGCCCGCAAAATGAATAATGGCCCCGAGGGCTTCAGCCCGAGGGCATTATTCATTTCAGGGCCGATTATCACCTTCTGGCACAACTATGACGTGTATTAATGTATTTAATACACTTGGTAGATCTAATAGTAGCATTTTTCTAAAACAAATACTTTGATATTTCTTTCGTTGAAATTCCTGTCTGTACTTCTACTGTACAGTTATTTCTACAGAGTTGTTTACTTTTTATTTGACAAAGTATACTAGAATCTAGAAGCAAGTATTATTTCCTTTTTTTTTTTCGGAATGAATTTATCGTAATAGATCTATTTATTTAAATTTCAATAGTTAAAAAACTGTGTTTGTACGAAATTCGCTTAAGCTCTCATAATAATATCAAGCGATTCGTGCTAAAAATCTACTTTCACTTTTACAGTTAAACTGTTTTGATGACGTAAAATCTGACGTCATTTCAGTTTGTGCCACGTGTATTAGTTCTGCGGGCTGATAACTAGTTCTCGCCCCGGGCCGCAAACTCATAATAGGTCACGTGACACTCATAATCAGTTGAAATCATGGACAATTTTGTTACTATAACAAGTGTATTAATAAGGGTTACAAACACTTAATTTAGAATAATGTGGTTTTCTTCAGACTATATCTTATATATAACTTCCCGTGGTCGAGGGGTTTACACGCTCGCTAAAAAAGCGAGAGGTCTAGAGTTCAAAACCCAGTTTAGGCATTTTTTTGTTTTATTTTTGTTTTGTTTCTTTTTTTTTTTCTGGCACAACTATGACGTGTATTAATGTATTTAATACACTTGGTAGATCTAATAGTAGCATTTTTCTAAAACAAATACTTTGATATTTCTTTCGTTGAAATTCCTGTCTGTACTTCTACTGTACAGTTATTTCTACAGAGTTGTTTAGAGTTTAAATTATAGTAGTTGATTTTGTCCTTCTACTCGGCTTCAAGTAAAATAAAGGATTAATATGATATTTGCAACAAGGTCAAGCCTTTGATTGCTACCGTCAGTATGATAATCTAAAATATGAGTTTATCTTGCATCGTTGTTGGTAATTTCATGCTATTTTCACTGAAATGAAAACCATTCAAGTATTTTTGCATAGTAAATCCAATATCAAACATAACGCAAGGAGCGTGTGTATCATCAAAGTTTTATAAGCAAACATTTACAAAAAGGTCTTATTATTACAACTACTTTTAATCACACATTTTTTTAGGTTATAAAAGTATCAACATCTCGTGTATGTTCTGAAGGAATCTTTTTCTTTCACATAGATTGCTAGTCGCTAGTCTCCTGTTATTGTATACATGCTGTAAACAAATACTGTAAAAAAAAGTCAGCCGCTGCTTTAGGTAACAGAGCCTAGTGGCTGCGGTGAATTACAGTCTTTGCTGTTTAAACTAGAACCAAACTGCTCCTGCACAATCCGAATTTAACATAATAGAGTAATACACAAGTTATATGTTCATAGCAATTATTTTAAAATCTCACTATTGAAAAGTACCTATTGCATTTATTCTTTTAATAGTATACTGCATACAATTGAAAAATATGAAATATTGGTGAACGATTTTAAAAATGGCGCATGTTGCAAACAAATGTTTAGTTTGCAAGGCAAATCTGTTAAATATATTTAGTAATCATAGTGTTACACTAACACTTTATTTGTTAATATAAGTTTTTATTAAATAGGATGACCGCATATAATAAGAGATTAATACACGGCAGAGTAGGGCCGGAAGGTGATAATCGGCCCGCAAAATGAATAATGGCCCCGAGGGCTTCAGCCCGAGGGCATTATTCATTTCAGGGCCGATTATCACCTTCTGGCACAACTATGACGTGTATTAATGTATTTAATACACTTGGTAGATCTAATAGTAGCATTTTTCTAAAACAAATACTTTGATATTTCTTTCGTTGAAATTCCTGTCTGTACTTCTACTGTACAGTTATTTCTACAGAGTTGTTTACTTTTTATTTGACAAAGTATACTAGAATCTAGAAGCAAGTATTATTTCCTTTTTTTTTTTTTCGGAATGAATTTATCGTAATAGATCTATTTATTTAAATTTCAATAGTTAAAAAACTGTGTTTGTACGAAATTCGCTTAAGCTCTCATAATAATATCAAGCGATTCGTGCTAAAAATCTACTTTCACTTTTACAGTTAACTGTTTGATGACGTAAAATCTGACGTCATTTCAGTTTGTGCACGTGTATTAGTTCTGCGGGCTGATAACTAGTTCTCGGCCCCGGGCCGCAAACTCATAATAGGTCACGTGACACTCATAATCAGTTGAAATCATGGACAATTTTGTTACTATAACAAGTGTATTAATAAGGGTTACAAACACTAATTTAGAATAATGTGGTTTTCTTCAGACTATATCTTATAACTTCCCGTGGTCAAGGGGTTTACACGCTCGCTAAAAAAGCGAGAGGTCTAGAGTTCAAAACCCAGTTTAGGCATGTTTTTTAATTATTTTTTTTTTGTTTCTTTTTTTAAATTGTTTAAGCCAAATAAACATTGAATTGAATATCAATACAATACAATACAAATACTTTATTCGCTTTAAGGCCTCCGGCCCATGCAAAAACATATATACAGAGAAACAATTTACACAAAATTATAGCATGTGCACAATGTTTAAACATATACTATATAAATTTAACTGAAAATAACTTTTAAGCATAAAAAAAATTTTCTGGGAGTTTCTTAATTATCATTTTGTATCTAAGACATATTAATTGTTAATCTTCCTTTTTTCAAAAGCGTAATACAAAAATGTTGCTGTACCCTTTATAAGATCATCATTTTTTGTAGACATTAATATATTAAATTTGTTTCGGGTTGGAGCATTTAGGTACTTAATCGGTAAATATAATTTTCTAAGTTCTGAATAAAAATCACAACATAGTAAAAAATGAAATTCATCTTCTATTACATTCTTAGAACATTTTGTGCATAATCTGTTTTCCCTCAATATCTTTTTATGTCTACCAACCTCAATTTCAAGATCATGTGACCCTATTCTAAAATTTGAGTATATATATCTAAATTTTCTAATGTCTAGAACATCTAAATAACATTCATATGAGAAATTTTCCTTAAATCAGTGTTGATTGTTGCAGTGTTGCAATTAGTCTTATAGCCAATTTACTACAGTTATAACACTGGAAACAGCATTGTTGGTACAATACAAAAACAATTTGGTTTATAATCTCACAACCTTCACCTTTCTGACATTCTGAGACCCAAACAAATTCAGCACCTTCTGTGCTTTGATTTTCCTCGAAGAGGTTTTGGTTCGTGGACAGCTGCCATTCGTCCATAGATGAATAATCCATCAGATTTTGGGGTTTATGTTGTATATGTTGTATAAAATAACCGCAGATTGGTTTGGAGCATGTACACGTTAAATATTAAAATTTTACTGAAATATTTAGTTACATATGCAATTTAACTCAATATGTATGTACAAATAAAGTCTTGTCCACTGCAACATTGTTTTATATTATTTGTGAGTAGGTAAGAAGTACATGTCACACAAATGTATACAGAGAATAAGATTTTGATTACCGTTCAGTGTGTTTTTTTCTAAGTTTTAGCGCAAATATGACTCATTGAATAATTGCTACAATTAATAATTAACATTTGATCAACGTTTGGACATCTATTCTAGCTGGTGGCAAATGGATAATTTATTATATATCTTATTTCATTGCATATTTCTTTATTTTGTTTGTAAGCTAACGCATTTTTACCACTTACATTTGTATACAAACAGCTTGTGTCAATAACTTTATAATTAATCTAAAATTGCTAGAATACACAATATACTTGTAACTTGACCATACCTTAATTTTGTATGAACATTGACATCATTTTCTAAAGCAATAATCACAAATTGTGATTATTGCTTTAGAAAATGATTTGTGTTTATATACCATGTAGATAAAATATAATTAAAGTAAACAACGTAACAATGTTGTTTTTGACGCGATGTTGACACGATGTTAAAATAAAACATGTTAATTTAAGTATCCATTTGCCTAATCGGAACACCATACACATTATGGAGTGCGAGGCATAAATGTTCAATGATAAATTGCATCTGCTTAAAAAATAAACTCTGATTGAAAGTAATGATGTTTGCTCCTTTTATTCAATTCAGAAGCATAGGTTGATTGGCCTGTTTAAATGTACACGTTAAAAATTGCACAATGTAAAGGATAATTAGTGATGTTCAACCTAAAATGAATCTCAGTTCTGTACAACCACCGAAAAGCATGAGTCGCTTACATCGTTAAAAATAAACTCAATTTTATAGTAATTTGCAGTGATTGACAATTTTTAAAACAGTTCTTTTTAATGTTGTAGAACGGAAACAATCTAGTTGAATCAAACATGTGACAACTTATCAATATATTTTTAAAATATTTTAATGATATAAGCTGTCATTCTAAATCATGGCTGAATCACAAAAAGTTGTTGTTATGGAAAATATTGAAAAATTCGACAATAAGAAACATGAAATTGAAGAGAAATTACAGAAGAGGGAAGATGAAAGACTAGCTAACATCCAGAAACGCAAAGAAGAGAAATCGGCGGTAACATCTGTCAAGGAAAGCGCTAAATTTTTCTATGATCAATTTTCAACTGAAAAGATCAATCTAGAAAATGAACTAGAAAAATGTGACTCATTGGATAAAAATAAACTTGTTGAAAAATTTGATGATTTAACTGCTAAACATCAAAAACTGCAACGCTTCTTCACAGAATCCACTATGTTTTTGCCATCATATGATGTTCAGCAAACACTGGATATTTTATCAAAGTTGCAAACACAGATCCAGGAAAAAAGAGATAAGTTACTTCCAAAGAAGAAGTTTGCATTTAAATCTAAGAAAAAGGGAACGGTTGTGGAAAAACAGGAGGATGTGAAGAAAGAAGGTGATGATGAAGATGACAGTGTTATTTTAGCCGACTGTAAATTTACTGACATGAAAGAAAAGGAATTATACATGAAAGATGAAATAAATAAGAAAGATGTTGCTCTTGCAAGACTAGAATCTTGTACCATTAGACTTCTTGGTGCACCTTCTGCTATTCATATTAATAAATTGACAAACTGTACAATCTTGTCAGGTCCAGTGTCGGGGTCTATATTTATCCGAGGATGTAAAAACTGTACATTTGTTGTGGCCTGCCAGCAGTTACGTATACACACAACAACAGATACAAAGTTCTTCATTCATGTAACCAGCAGAGCAATTATAGAAGACTGTTCATCAGTAACCTTTGGACCTTATAATTGGACATACCCAGAAATTGAGAGTCACTATGGTATTTCAGGCCTTGACAAAAATAGAAATAGTTGGGATGATATTGATGATTTCAATTGGCTTGCCGCAGACAAACATTCTCCAAATTGGAGTTTGGTTCCAGAAAGTGAAAGGAATAACTGTTGGAATTAATCAGTTTAAGTGAAAGGGATAACTGTTAAAATTAAGTTATCGATTATCAATTTCAAAGTGGACAGAAAGTCATGTTGTTGACATTAGAAACACAATTTTACACATGTTAAGTGTATATTAATCTATAATTAAAACTTTATATTAGATGTTGTATTGTGAAAAGATAACTTTACAGGCTTAATAAATTTTTTTTTAAAGGCTTAATAATAATATAAATAAGTAAAGATATTTTTTTCCTTATGTTTTACCCCTTTCACCCTCTATGTTTACAGCCAAATATAAAGGCTATTTCTCCTAGTCCTTAAAAAGCTGTATTTTCCTTATAAATGTTTTACCACCTTTTCATCCTGCAGCAAAGTATAGGCTGTTTCCCAAATGATCCTCGTCCTTAAAAAGCTATATTTTCTCCTACATGTATATAAAAAAACGCTATAAATTCTATATTTTCTCCTAAATTTTCACCTCAAATTCTGCAGTAACATTTTCACAAGTACTACTGTACTACAATATAACAGCACCTGATTTTAATCAGTTTGTTGATAAATGTAACGGACTAAATGAAAACTCACTAAGCATGTTTTATTTATTCTATAGTATTATTGTAACCGAATATTGGCTCTGTCTGTAAGGACAACATAAACAGCAAGAACGAGAAATTGTAACTTGTAAGGGAAACAAGAACGAGTAAGCAACCACATGTTAAAGTGATATTTGTACCCAGTTCATCTTAAACTTTAATCGCTTCACCTATCCATATACTTTTGATGGCTGAGCTGGAAAGTACATGGATAGGTGTCATATTACAGTAGCTCTGGCACTTGCATCCAGATTTGTGGTTAAACTTTTTGTGCAGTAAAATACTTTTTATGAAACTTTTTATAGATATTTGCTTCAAACTTAAAATTACATCAACATGTCTTATCTTCGCCCACATCGTATGCAGTAAGGTTCATAACCCTATTATAATAATATTGTTTCCAGAACTCCCCCATTGAACTTTCCTTAAAAAATGTTCTTATCTATATGCCCTCCTTTGAAGAAGAGGGGAGGGGGTATATTGTTTTGCTAATGTCGGTCAGTGTCTGTAAGTAGACCACATGGTTTCCATTGATTATCTTAAAAACTATTTATTACAAAGTCTTCATATTTCATAATCATATTGATTTGTCATAACTAGTAGATGATCCCTACTTATTTTGGGGTCACAAGGCCAAAGGGGCCTTAAATGTCTCAATGGTTTCTGCTCATTATCTTGAAAACTATCGCTAAGCTTTTATATTTCATATTGACTGTTAATAACTAGTAGATGACCCCTATCAATTTGGGCTATTTCGGTCAAAAGTCAAGGTCATAGGGACCTTAAATCTGTCTGTTGGTAGACCACATGATTTCCGCTGATTATCTAAAAATCTATTTATCACAATGTCTTCATATTTCACATACTGATTGGTCATAACTAGTGGATGACTTATTTGATTTTGGGGTCACTAGGTTAAAGGTCACAGGGACCTTAAATGTCAGAATGGTTTCCGCTCATTATCTTGAAAACTATCACAAAGTTCATATTTCACATATTGATTAGTCATATGTTGGTAGACCATGTGGTTTCTGCTGATTATCTTAACAACTATTATCACAAAGTCTTCATATTTCACATACTGATAAGTCATAACAAGTAGATGAGCCCTATTGATTTTGGGGACACTAGGTCAAAGGTTAAGGCCACCAGGGGTCAAAGTGGTTTCCACTCATACTAATGATAGCTTTCATTCACTTTCAGGTCATATATATAGAGGATACTGAATGAGTGTTAATATTAAATTTATTGAATGAGTTAAATAAAATCATATTATGCGAGCCTCTGGCTTATTCAACAAGTTCAATAAATTTAGTATTGAATCTACACGAATATAATATTCTATTTATTACATATATAAAATAAGAAGGGTAAACTGTTATCAAGAGTCATTTTTCTTTGACGCGCCTATAGTGTCATGCTAACATTAGCGCGCTTTAATGCTATGTTTATAGCGCAAATGACGTGAAGTCAAAGTGTTATTACACTAGTGTAATATCGTCTAGTGTAATATCGTTTTTATTTGTTTGGGTCGTCAGACCAAACAAATAATGGTAGCGAAATTTCAGACTCTAATGCTGTTAATTGCAAATGCCGAAAGTAGTCCGCTTTTTTGAAGCGGTTACTTCCCTTTATATGTAACACTAAGGCCGAAAAATTCAGGGGAGATCACTGCGTAAATATGGTCACATGACAGGCGCATTAATTTTCAAGCAAAATAATTCCCGAATGGTCGAAGATTTCTAATATTGTTTTATTCTTTATAGATATACATGCTTATAGTAAGCGCCATGATTATTTACACAAGTGTTAAACAACAGTTAGCGTCGTTACAAACCCTAATTTAGAATAATATGGTTTTCTTCAGGCCGTTAACATATAAATTCACCGTGGCCGAGTGGTTTGCGCGCTCGCTTAGGAAGCGAGAGGTCTGGAGTTCAAATTCCAGTTAAGGCAACTTTTTTTTCAAATTGTTTTAGTCAAATAAACATTGGATTGAATATCAGTGTTGTAATTAGTCTTAAAGACAATCTTCTACAATTAAAACGCTTGAAAGCATTGGTGTCACTATACAAAAACAAATTGTTTTATAATCTCACAACCTTCACCTTTCTGACATTCAGAGACCAAAACAAATTCAGCGCCTTCTGTGCTTTGATTATTAAATGGCTTTATTACACTCCTGCGCCGCGGTTTATGTGATAATGGTCATTATTTTTCTTCACTTCCATGTACCCATTTATGACATGTTTCTATAACAAAATAACCAACAGTATGAGTCATGGGCTAGAAATGGGGGCATATGTTTCATTCAGCATTTCTTGTTTTTATTTCTACTTCTTCATTTTACCCCCAAAACTAAGTTTGGGTGGAGGGGGGTATATAGGAGTTGGTTGGTCAGTCCAGCCATCCGTTGCATTTTCCTTGTCTGGAGCAAAACTTGAAGACTAATGGTTGGAATTCAATACAACTTAATACAATGGTCAAGCACATTGAGTGGAAGTGCAGTGCACAAGAACCATAACTCCATCTTGACTAATTACAGAGTTATTGCCCTTTGTTTCTTTTCCTTCTCCGGAGCATAACTTGAAAACTACTGGTTGGAATTTAATACAACTTCATACAATTGTCAAGTACATTTAGAGGAAGTGCAGTGCACAAGAACAATTTCACCATTTTGACAAATAAGTTCTTTATATTGCTCACCTGACAAGGAACAATTAATATTGTAAACTATTAATGAAGAGCAGATATAAAGTCTTAAACTGATATTACAAAGTTCATATCTGCATCTGAAATGTTGCTCTTGCAAAGGAAAATCAATAGCTACTATAGAAGTCACTGGTTGCTATACAAAATCAAAGGTTTCTATGGAAGTTAGTGGTTGCTATGGAAGTCAATGGAGGATTCACTGTTAGCAATAGAATGTCAATGATTGCCATGGAAGTCTATGGTTGCTATGTAAAATGTCACTGGTTGCTATGGAAGTCACTGGTTGCTATGGAAAGTCAATAGTTGCTATGCAATGCAATTGTCAATTGTTCTTATGGAATTCACTGATACTAGGGAAAGTCACTACATGTATATGCTTTGGATTCAACTGTCTGTTAATAATAGTAGTCTCAGTTTGTAGAAATCATAGGTGACAAAGTTCTGTCAATAGTTGCTATGGAAGTTAATGGTTGCTACGGAAAGTCAATTGTTACTATTGAAGTCACTGATTGCTATCAGAGTTAATGGTTGCTATGGAAAGGGGAATGTTGCTATGGGGAGCCAATGGATGCCATTGAAAGTCACTGCATGCTTTGGAAAGTCACTGGTCTCTACTGAAGTCAGTGATTGCTGTGGAAGTCACTTGTTGCTATATAAATGGCTGCTTGCTATGGAAGTAATGTTGCTTCGAAAAGTCAATGGTTGCTGGAATAGCAAATGGTTGCTATGGAAGTTACTTGTTGCCAATAAATCAACTGTTGTTATAGAAGTCACTGGTTCAAAGGTTGCTATGGAAGTAAATTTATGCTATGAAAATTAAAAAGCTGCTATGGAAGTCGATCACTGGTACTTATTGAAAGTCAACAATTGCTATGGAAGTCATTAATTGCTATGGAAGCCACTGAACATTTACATATAAGGAAAATCCATGACCCTCCCGCCCCTCAATCCTTGGTGGATCAATGTTAGATCTCAGAGCTATAATTTGAACAAACTTGGTAGTGGTCCACAAGATATTTTGTGCCAAAATATCAGTCTATGCTTCAGGAGATTATATACATATAAAGAAAATCCATGACCACCTTTAAACACCTGGGCTACAACTTGACATACCTGTCAGAGGTCTACTGGACAATGTTTCATCTTTAGCCTTTATTGTTATATAGAAGAACATAGTTTTTAGCTTTTTTTAACTATAAAAAAACTTTTTTTACTATATTTACATAAGAAAAGCTATGACCCTCCAGAACATTGCCAATTTTGACCCCATGCCTTTAATTTGTCAATCTTTGTAGACACTTACTAAATGATTTTTAGTTGGTTTTTTTTCTACATAGAATGGAATGAATTCTTTGAACAATTTTTAAAGAGCTTTATGCCAGGAATATTCTTGCTTAGTTTTAATAAAAGTGGTATAGGAGATGCTGTTTTAGTAAAGATGTTTGACACCAGGCAGCCAGGCAGTAGCAAAAGCTCACCTTTGAAAAATAACTCAAAAAAAAATAATAAAGGGTAGTGTTATCATTCTTCTCTTACTCAATGATATCTACCCACCTGTGAAGTTTCAAGTTAATAATTCAAATATTTTTTGAGTTACACTATGTTCAGAAATGTGGGACGAAAGGATGGACCTAATGAGACTGTGCAGCAAATACTAAAGTTTATAATTTCCCTGATCCAATACATTGATTTAGAACAAAATTAAACTGAATAAATTTTATTAAGTAAACTTAATGATGTTTGTTCTAAAACATAATACATTTTAAATGTTGAATACCATTTTCTGGAAAATCTATGCACTCTGGAAAACAGTCAATAGTTCAACAAAGCACCATGGCTGTAATTGCGATTACACATATTTTATATAGGACCAAATATGAAATGCAGTTTTTTTATATCCTTAACTTAATGTGGCATAACAAACAAACTGTTTATTGCACACAAACATTGCACTTGTCTTGAATAAATATAAAACTGCCGGTAAGTAAAACTATGACAGAAATGTTACAATGCATCACACTGACATAACAGCACTCGCCACACACCTTGGGCATGCTAGAGGAATGCATCCTTTCCTATTGTAATATTCACGTATCACAGATAATGTTTCTGATATTTTTATATTTCCAATACTGAAATCTTTATTCATTCTTTCCAGCTCCCCCATGAATGCTACTTTGGTGTAGTAATGTCCACATGTGAAAAATACAGCTGGAGTGACTTGCCCCTTATTTTGATCAGGATCTCCCAGCTGCTCTTGTAGTCGATCAAGCTCACTGTGAGTGACATAGATGTACTTCCTGCTGTCTTGACTTTTCAATAAATTTTGCATAATGTCCTGCCACAATTGGTCATATGGAAGTTTATCTCCCTCTAACATGGTCACTGGTACAGAATTTAGTTCTGGATCACCAAACTGTTGTAGTGTTTTGGCTGTGCTTGATTCATTCCAAACATCTGTCTGTAGTTTGTTCAGTATTGATGATGAGAGGTTTAAGGAGAACTTTGTAGTAAACTGTGACAGGAAAGCAGGTGTTGGCTCATTCAGGGAAGGTTTCTCTGTATCTATCTTCTCATCTGATGTAATGTGTGGTTTTCTATAAAAATAGGCAAACGTTATGATTAAGTACAGTACTTCTATGGATCTTAGAAATAATTATTTTATCCAATAATATTACAAATACAAATTAAAATTAAATATGGTTTTACCTTATATGAAGAATTAATAGAATTTCTACCAACAAGAATATGGTACAAATTTAAAACACAAGAAATGCAATAACAGACATTAATACTTATATCCTCCACATAATGTGGATAGATATCATTAAATCATTGAGTATAATTATGAGTCGATTTGCAAGTCAAAGTTTAATAATTTTAAAGGAGTTGGGGGAGAATCAAATTTATTTGCAAATACTTTTCTTGCATTAATAATTAATATTTCACTGACCTAAATAGTATAGTTGCTAGTACAAGAGCTAGATCATCAATGTTTGAATTGAAGAAATTCTCTAGATGAGAGACTCCACATTTACACACTTCCCAATGGTAGAATACCTATAAATGCAAAACAGATTTTTTTATCAATGAATATTAAATTTATGGTAACACAAATAAATGGATAGTTCTATGAAACCAATTTGTAACTTTTCTCTGTATTTTCTGTAAGCACATGGAGTTTTGATTTAAAAAAAAATATTTCTCAATTTACACTTCATACAAAATAATCATGTAGTTACAATGTATAACATGTAATTTCAATCCATGTTGGTGTTTTCCCCCCAAATGCTAAGAACTTGATAAATCATGCTGAGCTTAAAGCTTTATAAATCACAACTTAAACTGAGCTTAAAGCTTTATAAATCAAACTGTTACTGAGCTGAAAGTTTAATAAAGCAAACTTTTACAGAACTTAAAGCTTAGTAAATCAAACTTTTACTGTGCTTAAAGCTTAATAAACCACAACCAATTCAATTGAATTCTTCAGATAAAAACACTAAAGTTTCATAATTCTAAAAAAAAATATATTGAGAGGAAAATATATAGGAATAAAAGACAAATTTAAGCAAAAGATAACTAGTACAGACCTGATGTAAAAAGTTTTTGTATTCTTCCTCATGACAGACCTGACTTGTGTTCACCAAACTGTAAAGGAAAAAATACACACCATTTATAGAGGGGCCTTATGTTAAAAAAGTTTTAAGGATCATGTTCAAGATCAGAATCAAATTTTTCTTCATTTTTATTGCTATCTATAAAATGTTCAATATTAACCCTCTACATGTACCTCATCAGCATATTGTTAAAATGGCCATTTTCATTGAAATGCCTCCTGTTACAAGTTCAAACTGCTATAAAACTATGAAAAATGCTTCAATACTGATGAAACTTGGCACTAATGTTGATTGGAACAAAGCCTCTGTAACAGCATGCTCAATCTTAAATTTCCTGTTACCATGGCAACGGGAGGACGTCTCAAAATTGCCAAAAATCACTATTTTGCATTGTTTTTTCTATCAAAACTGATTTCAAAGTACTGCAACTTCTCAATGGATTGAGATGGAGTTAAAGGCTTTTCAGCATTGGTTACACAAACTATCAACCTGAGGCCATTTTTAGCCTGTCACATGTCCAAAATTTTCTTGGCAATTTTAGAAAATTAATGTTTTATTATTACCAAAGCATACATGTACATATTTAAAAAATAATCTAAAAATTGATCTTGGTCCTAAAATTGATCCTTATTTTGATCATGCTATTTTTGTAATTTGAACCATTATTATTAAATTTTATCTCACAGTTAGCGGTTCATTGCATTTTTATTTATTGCAAATCAGCACATTTATACATTTTGTCTATATTTTGTCAGTATTTCAGATTTAGGAGGCATAATCTTTAGGAAAGTAGGCAATGGTTAAAGCAGTGCAAGGCCAAATTTGATAGTACACTCAAAGACATGGGGTGATTCATACACAAATTATTGAATGCCAATTGATTGAATAATATTTTATTCCTAGTTATAATCTGTGACATAAAAGTGGGATGGGAGGTGGAGACTCTGACCCCACCGTTTCGGAATATTTAACCATGACAGTATAAAGTACGTCAGACTGCCATAAATAACATGCAGGCTATCCTGTCTGTCTCTACTCACTAGTCATCAATCACTGGTAGAAGTGTGTCAACATACCTGTAATAGTACTCTATAACTTTTATACTTTTCACAGTAAAATCATCTTTCTCTGTTTCTTCATAATTATCTCTTAACACCATTAGATGATATGCCATTGCCTTAAATAATTATTAAATCAATTATTAACACTAACTGAAAAAAACAACAAACAAACATGTACATGAATACCAGCTTAAAAAGTTTTGCTAATTAAATTAACTATTAAAAAAAAAATTATTCCCCTACAAAAATGTCCCTACCTCTGGCTAAGCAGTTTAAACAACTCACCTAATTTTACAAATGATTATTCAATTATCTAGCCATGAGTCATATGTGTTAATATTCATGAATAAAACATTTTTTTTTTTTAATATCAAGATGATATTTTGAAGTAAGTTAGCCTGCAGTTGTTAAGAGCCTGGTCAGATTGAACCAAACACGATGAGTGTTGACACAGTTTCACTCATTTCTCCATTACCTGTGTATAATTCTTCAGGTAGAGACAGATACTGGCTGCCACACACCAATCTCTCATATCAACAGCGTTTCTTAGCAACTGATTACAATCACATAAATCTGGCATACACTGAAAATTACAAATAAATACCACAAATCTAGTAAATACAAAAATATAAATCATGAATAATCAATTTTGGCATTTTACTCTTTACCCGCTTAATTTCTAGAATGGACTTAACCAAATGGTAATTAGCAAAGTTCATTGTCATTAGGGATACCCAAAAAAATATTTAGAAAATTGTTGACAAATAGTACAGAATCACACCAAACTGCATGGTTGTGAAGGGCCATGATAGTTAAGGTTTTAGCATTGTAAGGTTTTTTTACTGTATCAAAAATATTGGACACAAATTTTAAATGTATCAAATGTATCTATTATTTTTCATTAAGTAATATTGCAAATAATTATATATAACATAGTTTTTCACAAGCTGGTATCTTATCAAACAAGAGCTATTTTAAGTGCCTGATAGTAAAACAAGTGCCTGGATGATGTAGAATTTTCTTTATACATGTATGTCCAAAAAGGGCCATAATTCTGTCAAAATCAATGTTTTAGTTATAGGTGGGCCTTGAACAATGACCTCTTATTATGCTCTCAAGTAAGAGTGTGAAATTTCAATCCATTCCATTCAGTAGGTTTGGAGCTCAAAAACGCCGCCACCAAGGTGAGTACTATTGCGCTCCCTATTCTTCCAATAGTCAAGCTAAAAACTGTCAATTATTAGGTATAAATGTTAGCAGCTCTAATCAAGCATACTGTATAACATAACAAATAAAATGCTGACATATTTTGATCAAGTACACTTAACTTAATGTAAATATATTTAATAGTTACAAAACAAGAAGGCCATGATGACCCTGGATATTTTTACACGACAAGTCTATCTTAACTAAGTGACCTTTAGAGTGTTGCAATTTTGACCTTATGGGCATCACTTATATACAACTTTTGTACAGGTCCACTAGGCAATGCTGCATGCCAAATATCTAGGCTCTGGGCATAGTTTGTAAAATGATTGGAGTACCTGTAGAATAACTGGAATGATTATCCTGTTATAAGGTATGGTGCCTATTTCTGCTAGACTTGGAATATTCATCATAGTCTCTTTACCATTCTCTTCTTCAAGCTGAAAACAGAACCATATCTAATGTCAGTTTATTAGCATTCATTTTATAACAGTTTTAATAGTATTTTCCTGAAACCTTTAAAAAGTAACAGTCAATTATAATTATGTTGTCTAGAAAGAAGGTAAATATTATAACAGAAAATCTTGTAAATATGTTATATATTATTAGTTATAAAGATTTCTGGCAGGTTACATGGCCCTATATAAATGGTTGTTTGTATATATAACTCAAGCCGATTGATATACTGGCCATATAACCAGTCAGGAATCTTTATAATAAATTTATTTAACAGCAAACTTCCTTTTTTAGAGAAAATAATTGAGATATCTTTGTAAATTGACAGCAGCTGTATATATAAAACTACATAAACGTCACGATGGTCCCATGAAAAGTGAAATTACAAACTTGCAGTATTATAAGAAGTAATAGAAGTGTTTAAACAACAACTTTCAGTTTGATAACTACCGTAGTAAAACATAATACTAAAGTATGAATGTCAAAAATTGTATTATTATATTGATTCATGTGCTTATTGTTGATCATTGAACAACTTAAAACAAGGCATGTTTCAGTCTTATTCCAGGACTTGTATCAGACTGACTAGAAAGTAGAATAAACATTTTTTTTAAAAGTCTTTTTAAGAGTTTTATAAAAGTTCTTCAAGACAATTTGACAAAAATGAAAGCTTTTACATTTTTGATACTACAAAAAATATCCAAAATGAACAGAAGTAACATTCAATATATTTCATAGGTGACAAAAATCATCCCATAATTACACAAGCATTCATTTTCTATTGTTAAGTCCTATCGGTCTTAAAAATGTCCTAGAATATAGGCAAATATATAGAACTGTAACTGTACAATTATAGTTCTGGCAGTGAAAGTGTGAAAGATTGTCATATCTTGATTCTACCACTGATATGCTTCCATGTTTGTTCTCTCACAAATTGAATTATGCAATGCCCTTTAAAATTGAATTATGTGATGCCCTCTCAAATTGAATTATGTGATGCCCTCTCAAATTGAATTATGTGATGCCCTATCAAAATGAATTATGTGATGCCCTCTCAAATTGAATTATGTGATGTCATCTCAAATTGAATTATGTGATGCCATCTCATATTGAATTATGTGATGTCATCTCAAAATGAATTATGTGATGCCCTCTCATATTGAATTATGTGATGCCCTCTCAAATTGAATTATGTGATGCCCTCTCAAATTGAATTATGTGATGTCATCTCAAATTGAATTATGTGATGCCATCTCATATTGAATTATGTGATGCCCTCTCAAATTGAATTATGTGATGCCCTCTCAAATTGAATTATGTGATGTCATCTCAAATTGAATTATGTGATGCCATCTCATATTGAATTATGTGATGCCCTCTCAAATTGAATTATGTGATGCCCTCTCAAATTGAATTATGTGATGTCATCTCAAATTGAATTATGTGATGCCCTCTCAAATTGAATTGTGCGATGCCCTCTCAACTGAATTATACAATGTCCTCTCAAAGTATTTATGCAATGCCCTCTCAAATTGAATTATGCAATGTCCTCTCAAATTGAATTATGCAATGACCTCTCTAATTGAATCATGTGGTGCCCTCTCAAATTGAATAATGTGATTGGAATTTATCGTACTGGGTCTATTACTACTTACCATAAGATTCTCCATTGATTCTGAGATGCTGAACTGTTCTGTGAGTGGTCTATATTGCCATGATGAATGCAGGGTACCAGGCTGGAGTTTTAAAAGCGTTGGTGCCAGCACTTCTGAAAGACTTTGGCTCAAGTTCTTAGACCCTGCTGTCTTTATAACTTTATTTGATTGTCTGGGGTCTGAAGCTTGTAAACCTAACTGTGAAATTCAAAAATACACATTGTTAACATACAAATTTTCAGTATGTCTTTAAAATCTTGATTCATGATTATTATTTCTGAGTAAATGATTAATCACTTCACACTGATTTCAACACAACACAATAACTTTTGTAATAAATAGGCGATGGATACAGATGAAAAGTATTCCTTACTTCTTATGATGTAAGATGTAGCTATTAAAATATGCATATCAATGTACAATGATTTTGTGAACAAAAGTTAATTCATACCCTTGTTTCACAATCTAAACAATTTGTTGACCTGACACTTACTTTATTTGAAATGCCAAAATAATATTACAGCTTTCTTGCAGATATAACATTTCTGTGACATGTCATTTGCACTATTGGTTCAATTTCTTAATTTAAGTATTGCCATAATAAATCTTTAAACAATCTATACAAATAATTTTGCCTTAACAATATCTAGAAAATTCTTAAATTTCTATAAAAGGGCTAAGAAACATTCCATAGATGTTTTAAACAAAATGTAATTCTGGATAAAATCTCACCTGACAGAATTCATTTCTACCCCATACCCAAATCTGACTGTCTGTATCCATGGCAACATTATATTCTCCCCCTGATGTCAGGTGTATAATAGTACGATCATTGATGGTTGTTACCATTTGAGGTATTCTCTATAAAATACAATAAGTATACAGTCAAACCTGTGATAATAATCATACCACATGCAAAATACAGACTATATCTAAGACATATGTCACAAACAAATGACACAACTAGAACAAATGTCACAATTAAATGCTGAATCTAGGACAAATGTCACAAACGTATAAATCATCTAGAATATGTCACAGATTAAACATATGTCACATGTAAATACAACATCTAGGACATATGATATGTGTCAGATATTTTTTACATTTTTTTTCAATATTTCAATAACTTATCAATTGTATCAGCAATGAACTGAATACCAAAAATCAGTTTTTCTAAGGATAACTCAGTTTTAGACAAAATATTTTCACAAAAACATCATGTAGCACTAAAATAAGAGAATAACAAGAAAACTGAAAAACCAGAATCACAATGAACAAATGATAGACATTACCCCATCTTGTCTTGTTCCGTTGCCAAGTTGACCATCAGTGTTCCTACCCCAGGTATAAACGTCACCATCCCTAGTTATAATACATGTGTGGAAACTACCACATACAACCTGTAACATAATACAATGGACACCAGATTAAATTAATACAGTTTAACCTTTAATGTTCTGGAACAAAAAGTGATTAGCTTTTTAGTCATCTAGTATAGTGTCATACTTACAGTTGGACCAGGCTCTATAGTGTTTGTAGATAATTTTTTGTATTTTGATACTGAAATTCCTAACTTTAAATGGACTATTTCAAATTCTTAGTAGAGCAATTCCATGACAAAATTAAGAAGTATAAGGGCTTTAGATAGTCTTAAAATGAAAATACATGTACTGCCATCTTATTAAATTTCAGTGAAGCTGGTATAAGTGTACACATTTTACTTGAAATGCCTTAATTATAACAAAATAGTAATTAATTCTTCGAGGTCTAACTTTATTTAAGAAATCTAACTTCTTTCATCCTGTTACCTAACGCATCAGGCAGAACATTTTCTTATATGCCAAATTCTACTTTAATTAATTTGATTACAAACATTCAAGAGCATAGGTGTAGCACGTGTAAATAGTAGTGGTTAATATGTTTGCAGTTCCAGGAATTGTATGTTTAAGCAATGGTCATGACAAGGGCAAAATTTATAAGTATTGGTAAGTGATATGAAACAGACTCAGGAGTAATTCAAATATGCTTTAATCTTTGTCCATAATTAAGTTTAAATAAATCTGATTAAAGTAAATACACTTACAGTTTTTCAGAAATAATAAAGCTCTAACATAAGAACTGGTAGAAACTTTGAAACATTTGAGTCTTGCTTGGTGGTATATTTTGTGTTTATTAAATATTTAAAATTTACATCAATACCTGTTTGATTCTGCCATGTACATAAGAGGTATCAATTATTTGAGGTCTAAGATGACTGTCTGCTGCTTCAAAAATACTCTGACCTGCTTGCCTGGCTCTTCGCTGATTGTGAACAAAATGTCTCAGTCCATGTGGATGACTTCCCCACTGATATACATGATTATGATTGTCAACTGCTATCTAGATTGATGAAGAAGTTTTTGTTATTACTGATTGTCACATACAAATAAATCATTACAAAAATATACAGTCGTATTTTGCACAATAAACATATTAACTTAGATTTGTTACTGATTTATGTTTATTGTCCAAAGATGTTATAATGGTGTCTCATTTATATTAAAAAGCCCCATGGACAACAATTTTGATGTTAAACAGTTACAGTCTCACAATTTAATCAGGAGGTTAATTTTTTTGTTGTTGCTTTCTTTTTTTAATAAAATTTTGTTATTAATATCCTCATCATTCTCCACTCTTAGAAAAAGTACTATCCTGGTTTACATGTATAGTATGCAAAATTTTGTTACTTTAACCACAGAGTAATTTATTAGTATTCTGAATGTAACAAACATACTTACAGAGTGAAAAAACTTGGTTGCCATAGTGATGACTTTATCAGGAATGCTGGTGATTTTGACAGGTAGTGTATGTTTAATACTAGTCCCCAATCCAAGCTGGCCAAAGAAACCACAGCCAAATGCATAAAGTTCTCCCTACAAAATGTAATAGGAAAATAGAAGATTCAACAAATGCATACAAAGTGGAACAATATATAAAGATAAGAGCAACTACAAACCAGATAAATGGTCTGGTGATGGTGTCCAATTGATCTATCAATAAGTGTAGTGATTAAATCCCACATTATCACCGTAATTATAAACATACAATCATTGATAAATTTTATAAATTGAAATTAAAAATTTAAAACCGGTTAAATACTGAGAGACACTTCAAAACTTATGCCAATCACCTGATGTTCCTCTTATTGATACTCTTAACTACAGACCTAAATAAACCCTTTCACAACAATCAACATGACAAAATGGCTGCAGGTCCAGCTAAATGGACAAAAAGGTAATGCAGCACTGTCTCAAGTTGTTTGTTCCATAATATTCTGCCCCAGATACAAACAAAAGAATTAAACAGTTAAACAATGTTTAAAGCCTATTGTTTCTGTTTTCATATACTTTTTATTTGTTCAAAGGTCATTCCAGCACTGTCAATGCTACATGTTCAACTTGGTGGTATGCAAACTTTAATGTAAACTCTAAGTCGAAAAAGGGGCATTTTTCTGTCAAAATGCTTGATAGAGTTACCACCTCTTGTCTACAGATTGGGGGCATAATGGTGAACAAGTGTTCAAAGTTTCAAATCCATATGTCGATAGACTTTGTAAATATTTGAGGTTTTACATAAATTCTAAGTCAAAAAAGGGCATAATTCTGTCAAAATGCTTGATACAGTTACCTCCTCCTGTCTACAGGTTGGGGTCATGATGGTGAACAAGTGTGCAAAGTTTCAAAGCCACATGTCAATGGACTTTGAAAATATATGAGGTGTTACAAAAACTTTAACCTAAATTCTAAGTCGAAAAAGGGGCATAATTCTGTCAAAATGCTTGATAGAGTTACCTCCTCCTGTCTACAGGTTGGGGTCATGAAGGTGAACAAGTATGCAAAGTTTCAAAGCCGTATTACAAAAACTTTAACATAAGTGGTTACTCCGATGCCAACGCTCGGGTGACTAGTATACCTCTAGTTATTCTTATCAAATAGTCCAGCTAAAAAGGTCATCAGTATTATAACCAATTAATTTACAATCTTCCTTCAAAAACAAGACTTCACTTTTCTAAATTCACAATTGAGACTACAAAATACATATATGATAATTTTACCTGAAAAATATTACTATACAGTATTTAACAGTTTTTTTCCTGTTTTCTTGAAAAAGTCATATTGACATATAATTATAACAATCATAACAATCAACCATTTGTTAAAGACAGTATTGGAATAAAGCATCAAAATACATAATGCAATACACAATCAAAATAAAAAATTTAAAATTGCCAATTACCAGGTTGGATTTTTTTTTTAAATATTTTAAACGATACATACTTGTGCAGTAAGAGCTAATGTATGACAATATCCAGCAGCAACCCTGACAATAGACTGGTTACTGAAACTATCCACAAGTTTTGGAACCATTAATTCCTCTGTGTCTCCATGACCTAGTTGACCATGTACACCCCAACCCCAACTGTACAGCCTGAAAAACATGTTATAAATTACCCCTGCTGAATTTCTGTATTGGACTTGTCCCAGGTTGATTTTGGTACAATCTATTATAAGTAAAAAGGGTTTCAGAATTAAAATACTAAAATTGAGCGGCTATTAGTATAGATTCTGGTTTCATTTGTACAAATTAACTGTATAAAAATTGTTGTCATTCATCATAGTGTAGAGATTTTTTTCTAGTATTTTAGTAACATAACCTATACAATCAGGACTGTCAATCTAATTGTTTTGCACCAAACTGTAAATTTACTTTTGAGTAGTGTTGGGTATCCGACTCAAAAATCACTATCGATAACCGGACCACCAAAATTGATTGTCTGCCGATAGTATAATCGAGTTTCGCATCTTTTATGGCCCTTTTTTCTTTTAAGGTATCAATCCTTGTATGTATTTTTTTTATACAGTAGTGACCACATTTTGAGAATAAATAAACTCTTGTCTCCATGATAAAAGTAAGATTTATTCTTTGAATTCAAAACAAACAACACAAATACCTAATACAACTTTGTGACAGGCAATTTTTGTATAATACAACTTTATGGCAGTCAATATTAGTACTAGTCAACAGGTCAAAATATTGCAGATCACTTATTTAAATACATTAGATATGTAAGTTTATAATATTATGTTATTACACACTATAATTTTCTAAAGTAGTATTAACAATAAAGTATAGGCAATTCAGCGGTGGTAGAACATTAAAAGTTAAATAATCGATTTTTAAAAAGGACTATCGCTTGTCACCAATTTTGGGGTGGTCCGATTAGTTATCGATTTTCAGAGACAATCAGGACAACACTACTTTTGCGGTTGTTGAATGTTTTGTTTTCAAGTATAAAAAACATTTTCTTTATCTATATATGAAAATCAGATCACATATTTTTAAAACAAAAAAAATCTTACAACTGAGATTTTTTTGTCCGTCAACTGGAGAAAAAGAATACTACTAGTCTTTTCCTTTAGGAATATGATCAAGGGTCAGAAATTAATAACAATGGACAGTGGAAACTACTTTGTTACCCGATTGAGTATTTCACAAGCTAATGAGTAACTTATTCTATACATACTGAGCATCTTCTGTTAGAGCTACAGAGTGGTATTGTCCGCAGTCAACGGCGACACATGTGACCTTTGACATCTCCTCTAAAGGCATAGGACGAGTGTACATGTGCTTTGTTCCTAGACCAACCTGACCATACTTAGATGAACCCCATCCATAGAGCTGCAAGTTATATGACAAAACATTTAACTAATTTAATGAAATGTTTCTTCTTATGAACATCAGTACACACAAATCGTAATCAATTTTGAAATGCTCCTTACAACTGCTAAGGTAATATAATCCATGAAATAGTGCCTGTGAAGATAAAATCAACTGTTTTCTTTTATTTGTAATATTTTTCATGCTATGCTATGAAAGGAAGAGCATAATGTGTTTTAAGTAGATAATTTCAAAAGAAAACAAAGCAGAATGCAGAATTTATATGTTTCATTTATACCTACCCCTTGATTGGTAAGTGCTATTGTATGCTGCATGCCACATGCTACAGAGGTCACTTTAATCTGTAGTGTTTGAAAGTTTCCTATTCTACATGGTCCACATGATACAGGGCTACCTTTCTGTTCCCCATGTCCCAATCTACATACAAATAACAACTGTTTGTTTACAGTATTGATGTATTAACAATGAATAAAATATAAACAAGAAAATGTGTTTCGTAAACATATAAGACCTTGAAAGCAAAAACCTTCCAGCAAGTGTTTTATTACTGTAAATCCGGTATTATTCCCAATGTTTTAATTTTTTCGTTTTAATTCACTTTAAATGTTTTGGTTTTAAATAAAAAAAATTATTGTCAACAAGATTTCTCTATTTCTTTGTCTATGTCAACAAAATTACAACACTCATTGATTTTATTTCAATATTTGTCATAGAAAAACAGAGCACACATTAGATTACCTATCCAACCAATGGACTGTAAATTTCAGGGGTATGAAGGACAGCTATACATTCCATAAAATTAAATATAGTAATACAAATGATTAGACATGTAACAATTTGTTAATGTAAACTGACCTGCCATTGTTGGACTTCCCCCAAGTATAGAGATCACCGTTCTTTAGTGCCACTGCAGCATGGGTCTGTCCACAGCCTACAGGATTAGGCCGAGGATTTATTTTCCTTCTGTTTGACTGGGAACTTTGTAGCTATAGAAATCATAAACAGAAAGGAATTAGACGTTTAATATGACAGACATGCCAACATTTAAACCATAGCTAAACTAAATTAAATCTCTACCATATATGTCGAACTTTGATAAGTCGATTTTCTCCATATCGTAAAGAAAATGAAAAACCAATTTTTTACCCTGTTATATTTTTATTAAAGAATTATATTATTATTATATCAATGTATGATAATGACACAGGATATACATGTATCTACTGTAAGCTTGTTAATTAAGTTATCGCCCTATCCTTTTCATTCTGTTTTCTTTTGTAAATTACTAAATTTCTATTCAATGGCTCAAAATCTTGTCATTAAATTGACGCCAATACAGAAATCAAAGTTCAAATGTCTCGAATTGTATACCAATTTAACTTACCGAAGCTATGGCTACTGCAGTATAACATGATCAAATAGTGGTAGTAGTTTAATAAAACTTAAAAATTTTAAAAACGTGGGTACAGTTACTCTAAATTCATGTCCAACAACTAAAGGTATATGTAATGGTAAAGCTATAGTTGCAATAAAAAATACTGGGTGTACATGAATTTTTGAATTTGCATTTTTATTTTTTTTTTTACCTTTACTTTTACCTTTATAACCTTTTTGCCTTTTATTACCCTGATAACTATTATTATTTTTACTTGGATTTATTGAGTTTGGTTTTATGTTTTTTGCTGCGTTAGCTTTATTTGTAGCCTTATTTTTACAGAAAAATGCTGTATGCCCTAAACGACCACAATATGTGCATTTATAACCTTTATACTGCTGAGATGCTTTACCTTTATTTACCAGTTTATTGTTACCTTTTTGCATACGATAACTACTACCTTGATTTTTATTTACAGGTTTACTTGGCAGTGCATAAGGCTTAGCTTTTTTTTTAATTTTATGATTTACTACATACTTTGGACCTTTTTTAGTTTTGGCAAACAAATTTGCATTTTTTGCTACTTTACGGCTGAAAACAACTTTTTACTACTAAGGTTTTGATATAGTTTTTTATTGCAGATATTTAAAAATTGATTTTTTACTATGAAGTTTAACAACTTTTTATAAGTTTTTTTTACCTTACTTAATTTTAGCCAACCATTTAAGTATTTAGAAATTTTAGCTAGGAACATAACAAAAGTTTTATTTTTACGGGGTTTTTTGGTTTTAAACTTTTTTTTTATACCCATTATTAGTTAACTTAAACTGCCTTAACAAAGCATTTTTTAGCTTATTATAATTTGTTTTATTTTTTAATGGAAGCCTATTAAATACCTTCCTAGCAGTACCTTTTAACAGAAACGGTAAGTTTAGTGACCACATTTTATGTTTTTAATTTTGAGCAGACGCATAAGTTTTATAAACATTTAAATACGCATATAAATACGCATATTAAATATGTTCTAGAAATTATCAAATAATTAGCTGTTTAAACACTTTCCAATTGCTTAATTAGATAAAACTGCTCATTTAAAAATGCTATTTTAAAACAGAATACTTACAATATTTTTTAGAGTATCTTCCATGTCCTCAAACAGGAAGTCAGTGTTGACTGGTTTACCATCTAGAAGTCTCCTCTTGTTCAAATGAAGTACTACCATGATGAAACAGTGGACCATTCTCATAGCATCTAAACTCTTCACATCCTGAAGTTTAGGTAGTACATTAACCATAAACAATTAGAAGTCTGAAAAAGGTTAATCTCTTGAGAATAATGAGGGATTATGAGAGAAAAATTATGAGATAAACGTTTGATTGAGTCTGTCCATGAGACAAAGTTAAAATTGCTATATCTCTCATTGATTTATTTAACACTATAAAAGTTATTGGATCAAAGATCCTGTAAGACCAGAAAAATGCAACAATACTAAGATCAAGTACAGGACAACTTTTCATAGCTGCCACAAAGCACTTGATATATGCTAATGTGAGTAAGAAAATCCTTAACAGATCTCAAAATCTTATTTAAGTTTGCTGTGCTTTAATAAACTCTATCAAACTTTCCCCACTGCCATCTGGCAGGCTTCATTTTTTAAAATCAAATTTCTTATACTAAACATGTAACATTACTTACCATTCTTACACTTGTTACACTATCTCCAAATTCTCCTGACCCTGTTAATGATGTCAATGAGCTAGTTCTTCTCCTTGAGTTCAGTTTCCTCTGCACAAAACCCCTAATAATAGGCTTAGAAGGGTCAAGCACCTCAACTAACTGTAACAGTTCACAAAGGTCAAGGGTATCCAGGTTGCCTAGCAACAGATCAGGATGTTGTGCAACAAGCTGAGGACGTTCACAGAAGATTGTCACAAGCTGTTTCTGATCCAAAAGATGTAGAAATGCTCCTTAAAACCAAATAAAAGCAAAAATTTAAAGTTTTTTTGTTTTCATTATATTAACTACTTTTAATAAAGTTGAGGTAAATGTATTAAATGCATAATTACATACTCCAACTACATCATAACCTGGACAATTTTAATATGACTTACATTTATATTATCAACTTCTGTATAACACCTGTATATACATGTACATTGACAAGTCTTGTACATTGACCAGAGCTGCATCAGTACTAAGAGTGTAATACTTAAGTACCAGTACCAGTACTTGGCAAATTATGCAGTACCATTACCAGTACCAGTACTAGATTTTAGCTCGGTTCTACAGTACCAGTACTTTTTTTGCTGAAGTAATTAAGTATCAGTACCATTACTTTTATATATTCATCAAAGTTTGAATAAATACACAGTGTGAAACAAATAATTGCAAATATTATTCAGCAAATAAATAAAATCATAATTTAATTTCAAGTTAACATAACATTTTTACAACTTTATAGTTTTAACATACTTTTTACAAACAATATTTACAACATATATTCATGTCATATCTTATTGTTTAGTAACAAGTCAACTGTAATACAATGCAATCATCTTTCATTTAAAACACAACAGTCTTTTGTTGCCTTTCACCCCTTCACACCTCTGTTCAATTTAAACCAAAGTAAATAACAATTTTTTATGGTGCTAACAATATCACTTGAAATAGAAAATTTTAAAATAGAAGCAATTAATTAGTGATTATTTTGCTCTTTTACTAGTAAATACAAAGTAATAAAAGATTTTAATAAGGATATTTTAGGGTAAAGAGTTATTGAGTCTGTGTATCTCAATTTAATTTTTACTAAAGTCTTTGGTGCTTTTTATGATAAATACTATGTTTACATTTGAAGGAATATTGCAGCAAATTATCTATAGATTTGATAACTTTTTTTTCCACAAAAATGAAATAATGTAAATTACAGCTTTATTTCATGAGAAAAATTTATGCTATTTTTATCAAAACCAAAAGTACTGCCTAGTAATGCAGTAGCAGTAGCACTTTTTAAGACAGTAATGCAGTACCAGTACCAGTAGTAGCAAAATTTTGTAAGAGTAATTCAGTATCAGTACCAGTACTTGCAAAATCACTGCAGTAAAACCTGGACAATTTTAATATGACTTACATTTATATTATCAACTTCTGTATAACACCTGTATATACATGTACATTGACAAGTCTTGTACATTGAGTACCATTACCAGTAATGCAGCTCTGACATTGACAAGTCAGGGACGTACCTTGGCTTATTATGAGTGTACGCTGAGTGCCGGTTTTTGGCTGAAGGATCGCTAGAAACTTATATATCAAATATAGCTATGTGCTTTAACTTAGTATTTAGAGGATATTTAAGCTAATTGTACGACTGTTGTCTTTATCTATAGTTATGAAAATAACATCAAGTACATAATATTGAATGTAAGAGAAGTTTAATAATATTTTATTGCATATATAAATATACAACAATTCATTTACATCAACAAAATTACACAATATACAAAAGGGTTGGGCCAAAAGTTTTTACAACATTATCGTGGGCCCTTCCCTGGAATGTAAGAGAAATAGCACAAAGTCTAACGTGTACACTGTTTTAAATAGTTCAAAAGTTATTTGCTTTTAGAAAAACAAAACATAGCCAGGTATCTCTCTTGTAAAAAAGATGGGTTTTATTTCCTTTTGTAACAAGTTTAGTTTTTTCTTTGTTATTTTTCTTTTGTTTCACCATAACTTAACGTGAGATATAATCAAGGGAAAATAATTATGCTTTAAAATGATCTGTATGACTTTAATAAAAACACAACAGCTTAAATGTTTTTATCGTATTCACAGCTAAAATGTAGTATCGCACAATCATTTAGCTTCCTTAAAATATTTTCTAATGCGTATTATGTCAATGGTGTAGACAATAACTATTGTCTTTAACATTTTTGTTCTCAACTCTAGTATTTCAATTTCCATTCGAAATATTTAAGTTATTTCATTACGAAGTTAAATGCCTCACGCACATAAAACATGTTGGTATAACAGACTCACCAATTTGTTATCTAAAGTCGGCGAAATTAAAAGAATTTAGACATGATGTGTCTTATATGGTTATACATTGTTCTCAATGTTTAAATATGTATAGATGAGACTACGTATAATAAAGAACATAATATATATATGGATGTTGGCAATAGTTCACTGCAAAGATCTGATTCGCAGTGTCAAAACTATTCTACATAATTTGAAATGAATATAAGTTGTATAAATATTACTAACTTAAAAATAATATACTGATTTATAGTAACAAGGTAAAATATAAAAAGACATTCCATACAGCTAACTCACTCCCTTGCATTGTGCTGCAAACGCCAAGTTGCAAACAAGATCTTTATTTTGCATATAGATCCAGATGTAAAAAATGAAATAAATGTTTACTTTTCAGTGATTTGATTCTTCTGAAAAAAAAGAAGATTTTAATATATTGGCCAATTTCTTATTCTAATTTGGATTTTGACAAGGTTTATTAGCATTATAACGCTTAACTCAAGCTGAAACTAGAAATGTGTCCATAGGACACGGGTGCCCCCACCGCGCCACTGTTCTGTCAATCATTTTACTAAGTCAAGGGAAATAACTCTACAAATACTGGATAAATCCACAAGCGAAACCCCAGGTGCAAATCTAAAATATGCTGAGCAACCTGCCCATAAGGTTTAATGACTATGTCAAATCCTTTTTGAGAAACTTGCGACTTAAGTTGAAAATTGCAAAAATTTCTAAGTGAAGGGCAATAACTCTAAAAATACTAAATAAATCCAGACGAAAATACCTGGTGCACAACTGCACATGCTGATCAATATTCCTGTAAAGTTTCATGACTCTAGGTCAAATACTGTTTGAGTTACGTGCGACACAAGTTGAAAATTGCAAAATTTTACTAAGTCAAGGGCAATAACTCTGAAAATACTAAGAATATCCACACGAAAATACCCAGGTGCACAACTACACATGCTGATCAACATTCCTGTAAAGTTTCACGACTCTAGGTCAAATACTTTTTGAGTAACGTGCGACACAAGTTGAAAATTGCAAAATTTTACTAAGTCAAGGGCAATAACTCTGAAAATACTAAAAATATCCAGACAAAAATACCCAGGTGCACAACTACACATGCTGATCAACATTCCTGTAAAGTTTCATGACTCTAGGTCAAATACTTTTTGAGTTACGTGCGACACAAGTTGAAAATTGCAAAATTTTACTAAGTCAAGGGCAGTAACTCTGAAAATACTTAAAATATCCAGACGAAAATACCCAGGTGCACAACTACACATGCTGATCAACATTCCTGAAAGTTTCATGACTCTAGGTCAAATACTTTTTGAGTTACGTGCGACACAAAAGTGAACGGACGGACGGACAGACGGACGGACGGACAAGGGTAAATCTAAATGCCCGCCACTAACGTGGGGGCACAAAAAGAGAAAATTCCAAAGGAATTGTTCATATCATATTTTTACTCCCTTTCTTCATAATTGAAAATTTGATTGTGCATAAAAAGGTAACGCGTATTCGAATAAGGTAACATCCTAAGCATACCTGTAGAATCAATTAGCAGCTACGAATATGTTGATCGAGCTATGCCCAAATTAATGATTTCATTTTATTTTTTTCGAAACTTTTTCTTTTTAAACGCCCGTGCGTATTGGCGTATTGGTCGGTACGCCACTGCAAGTCTAGTTTTAAAATAAACCCAAAAAGATAAAGGTTATGATGTAGGTAAAACTAACTTACAAAAGTTAACTTTTTTTTACAAATAAATCATAGGCATAATTATTACCTGAAGAAACCTGTGCAAGATGCCCTCCATATCCTCTACTGATCAACAACTCCAGTGAAGTCTCTGATAATTGGTACTGATTTTGTCTTGCCATTTCTTCTAAAGCCTCCAGAACTAAACCTCTTGTCTGTAATTACACAGTTGCATTTGTTTCTTTATCTGCTTTTTTACTCCAACTTTAACATATTTTTTTTTATCTAGGGAGTCTGTCAACCTAACAGTCATTTTTTGATAATAAACCAGTAATTTCCAATATCTCTGCAAGAGACTGGCTATCAATCCTAAATGATTTGTGAATCAGCAGTTTGTAAGTGGAGTATATCTGTAGTCCCAGGGTCTATTTGAAAGACACTGCTGTACCTAATGACTTTATTATGTTTAAATAATATAAACAAGCTTACATACATGTGTTTTTAGTTTATGAATAAGTTTTTATAGATAATAAAAACATTGCATTCAAAGTGTGTTTTAGATAAAAAAAAAAATAATTTCATAGTTCATTGGATTAATACATTAAGTAAGACATTTAAATTATTGCAGACAGTATCTTGAGTTTATCTTGGTCTCTTGTAATAGTTGTTTCTTAAAACAACTCAATTTAATCTTTGAAGAAGAAAAATAAAATTAAAAATTTGGGGCCAAAATAACTCAGGGCCGGATCAACTGATTTGGGCTGCATTAACTAGATGCCAGATTGACTTTGGTCTGGGTTGATTTATTACCAATTGCTATCTGCTGGAAATGAACAGTTAAAATATACATAATGTCTTCATCTCTACTAATTCATTTAAAATATAAAATCACATACAATAATGTTTATTGATAAAAGAAATTGCAGAATCTACCTGTAAATCATATATTGGCTTTTGAGGTATTCTGTATACATGTGAAGACATTGTTAATTGTACTGTTTTTGTAAACATACTTGAAGCTTAAAATTGCCTCCCTTTAATATAAATCCATGAATATCCTGAAGAAACTTCCTGTCTGATTTTTTTTTTTTAAGAAAAGCAACAAAGAATTCAAAATAAACCTTACCATAGCAAAGTCAAGCAAAACTGACTGAAGCCCTGCCTCTGTCAGCAATCTTAGACTAGTCCTCTGAATGTCTTCATATTCGGAAAATTCTAGAACAAATTGTCTGAAAAAAATAGAAGGAGATTTTGAGTTTCCTTGTCCAATGATATTGCTGGTTAATCAAAATATCAAGAACAGATCAAACCTTACCAAGAACTAATATTTATCATTCAATCAAAATTGAAAGAGCACAAGTCATTGGTGTTAATAAGAACCAGATTTCTGATTATAAAATAGGGTAACTTAGACTAATTAATTCCCTCCAATGCAGGCTTTGGCTTAAAGACGTTTATTATCATATTCTAAGAACATGCCAAGTTTTAAGAAATGCTATTGAACAGTTTGAATTTTGCAATTACATGTATGTCTATATGAAAACTCCCGAAAACATCTTAGATGCACCTCGCGTTATTTCAGATGATAATGAAAAGGCATAAACCCTCTATAATTATGAACCATAAGGTTTACAAATGTCAACACAGATGCTGAATCCAACAAGTGGATCATGATAATAAATATGCTCTTTCTTGTAAGTGTGAAGCTAAAAATGATAATGTTTTGATCACTGTTTCAATCACAAGAACTCTAGCTAATATTTTTAAAAAGACTATTACAAGATGAAATTGGACAATTTGAGCCTGGAAAACGAACAAATTATAAATGTTTGCTCTATTTACAATATTTTTCCGATCAACAATAACTGTAAATACCATCAAGTAATCTGGAACATTGCCAATTAATTTTGGCCATTAGCCAATATCAAACTATTAATAGTAACAAAATGTCTATTTTTAGTAAGAACTGACTGAAATTGTACCATCTTTTTATGTACTTTAGCTCTAATTTTTCTAGTCAAAATGCATAACCTGATGAAGGGTATATCTTACCCGAAACCGATAGTTATTTTAAATTTATAAACCGACCTGGTGTTTTTGATGTGTTGTTCCCCCCTCACAATCTTTTAATCTATAGTTTATTTTTAAAAGTTAACAGACTGACTCAGACTGACAGAAAGAATTATCAATATTTAGATCTAGATTTTTATCAAATTGTTTGGACTCAATAATATGTCCATTACAAACAATTTTAAACTCTTTTTAACTTGTTTATTAAACTTGTTTAATCTTTTGTTTGTAATGAAAGATAAAACATTCAGTCTTTCCTAGATGTAATGACAATTTATTATCTACAAGCCAAGTTGAATAATACCCTAATACATTTCCAAGTTTTTGAGTGTTTGGGTGTTTGTGTGTGAACAGAATTGCGCTGTCATTAGCATACAGAATAAGTTTACATTCATCATCTTTACTAATTATCATGTTATAAGCACAGCACAAAAATACAAGAGGACTCAGGATGCTACCCTGGGGAACCCCACATGAAAAAGGCTTATATTCTGAAAATATGATAACATATTATAAATACATACATTGTTTTCAACCTCTAAGATAAGACATAAACCAGTCTGTATTTGTAATACCATTTCTTTTTTCAGTTTTTCACATAAGAACTCATTGCTCAACAGTATCAAAACCTTTTGTAGATAAAACATTATCATGCCTGTGTGGAAACCTTTAGTAGTAGTATTTCTGATATGATCCATAAGATGGATAAGAAATCTATCAGTAGAGTAGGAATTTCTAAAACCAGACTGTTATTCATACAATAAATTATCATCTTCTTAAAACAGACCCTATAAAAAGTAAAGAAACTGATAGCAAACAGCATGGATCCTGATCAGACTGCGCAGATGCGCAGGCTGGTCTGGATCCATGCTGGTTGCAAACCCATTATGTTGGTTTTGTCATGACGCCGCTCATTTCAAGTTGTGAATACACAGTTTTCTAATATTTCAGACACAATATCCTTTGATCCCTTAAACATAACATAACATCTTGCCATTGAGATAAAACAATTTTCATCAAAACAATTCATTTTAATAACAGGTAATAAAGGACTAAAATCTAATAACCTTGAATAAAACATCTCAAAAGATTAACATAAATATACACGCAGTTCAATCATGTGCAATATCAAAATACTGCATATTAAAACATCAATTATAAAAGTTTAAACATTTGTCTTCTAAATAATGTATGTGATAATTCTTCACATCACAATATCATGAATTCTTTTAGTGACATGTATGTATTTGAACTTTTACCATGCTAAATTTGAAAATTGACTCATCCTGCTTTGAATTTGGATGTGTCCATTGTTAATTTTAGGGAATTCATATTTACTGTAAAATTCCTATTTAACGCCCCCGGGGGACTAAACATTTTCCAAAAGGGGGGCTATTATTACAATACAGTTTTTCCTAAATCCAAAAATCACTGTAAATACATTTAGCGTTAGCAAGTGTTGGTAACAACATTAAAAAGTGTTAAGGTTTTAAAGTTCATATTATACATATTTGTGTTTACTATAAAATACTATGGAATCTGAATGATTTGAATAAAATTATGGCTTTAATCATGAGTTCAGCACTGATAAGTAGATTGTTTTCTTTATCAAAAGGCCTGGGGAGGGGGCCTTTATTAGGGGAGGGGCGTTTATTTAGAATTTTACGGTAAAATATAACACAGAAATATTTACTGGCCTAGTTCAATATGGCATACTATAGACCAGTCCTTTATTCCCAATTAGTATTTATTTGAACACACAAAACATAACTAATTGTACAGTAATAAATGTTATGCATTAAAGATTTTGTTGCTTTATGACCGTAAATCTATATTAATTTGTATACCTAGTAACAAAGCCTAAATTTAACTGTAACAGCTGGTCATATGCAATGTGTATAATTATATTATAATAATATCATAAAAAAGAAAGGAGAAGGTGAAAATAAAGTGCTAAAACTGTTGATGGAGGAAGTTCTTAACCAAAGAAAAAGTGATTCAAAAACTGACCTAACAGGTGGATATGATATTTTACACGAGCTTGGATATTCCAAAGATCTTACTGAAAAGAGAGTTCAGATTTATAGGAATACCAGTAAAGGAGCGAGTTTATTTGAAACAAATAAATTTGAAGTAGATTATGAAGTTCTGATTGCAGGAAGCCGAGGTGATGGAACTGGAATATATATTGACAGTGATGTTGACAAACTCCTGGTTCAAAATAATTTAGAATGTATTGAAAAGGGACTAATGGCTTCAACACCAAAACAGAATTACACTGTGTTAAGTTTAGACACAGAAGATGCCCCAAGTGGATATACCTATCTTCAGTTCATTAGAAATGCAGATAATCAAACGGACAAACTTCACACAAACATAATGGATGCAATGGAAGACATAAATGGTAAACAATATGTAAGAAATGACTGCATATTAAGTCCAGGTATTGGTAGAGAATACACATCAGCTGACTGTGGCTGGATTGAAAAAAACCTTGTCCATTCCAAATCGAAAACTGGTCCTTCCAAACCATACAAGATTCAAACACCATGTTTACCTAGCTATATTATATTTGATGATGTTTTAGCATTCAGGTGTGATTTTCCATCAGTTAAAGATGCTTGGTGTAGTCGTAAAAGATCAAAACACTGGCCATCAACAGAAATGATAGAATTGATAAGAAATCTGGATGTTTATGTTGTGCCTGTTGGCTTGAAAGGAAGTCAAAATGAGCATCTACAATGGAGGATTTGTCTTACCAAAGCGGAACAAGCATTAGTTCAATCATTCAATGATGCCCAAATAAAGCTATTGGGGGCACTGAAATTAATTACAAAACATCACCTTAATCCAATATGTAGCAATATTACATCATATATTATCAAAACTATTCTTTTCTGGCAAATGGAGCAGAAAAACTGTAATGAATGGAATAGAGAGAACTTTAATGATATTCTCAAAGACTCTTTAAAGTACCTGAAAACATGTATAGAGGAAGAGGAACTCCCAAATTATATGATTCCCCAGAGGAATATGTTCCAAGATGAAATATCAAAATCAGAACAAGGAAAGCTTATGAAGAAACTTGAAATCTTGATTAACACCTGCCCATTTACATTGATCAAAGATAGCGTATTAAGGTTAACTGTTGAAACAGATATTGATGGCATTATATCACATGAAGTTAAAGAAAAAATGAAAATTGATCAAGAGAAAGATCTTCAAGAAGAAGAATTAAGTAAATCTGCTGAGGCAGTAAATGATGGTGAACAAAAGGTACAGGATACCTGTCAAATACATGATCATGTTTTGTCAACAGAAGAAGAAAGGATATTACAAGTGATTCCAAAAAGAATGCTCAGAGAGCAATTCGTACTTGCAATTTTTGCTCTGTCTCCTGAAAAGATAGCTATTATTTTAAAACAGGTTTTTGAGGCTAAACAGCAAACAGAAATCATTAACATTATTTCACAGGAAGTTCTCCCTTTCATTCGAAAGTACAACCCCTATGACTTCTTCAAGGAGCTCAAGTCTTTAAATGATGAAGACATCTTTGCCATCTGTGCTAAAACAAGTGAGGAGCAAAGCTGTGTGCTCCTTTAATACTAAAGAAGGCAAAATGTATACATTGTATATGTCAAAACAACACATAGACAAGGTTTTGATTATGTTGACAATATATAATTTTGGATATTTTCTTTTGCAGTTAAAATATGCAAACAGCAAATCAAAATCTAGACTTTTAGGACAACTACTAAAATAAGAAACATTCAGACAACAAAAAAGTCAAGATTATTCGGTATTACTATGTAATTCAACTAATAGTTTGATATATACATACAACCAAAGTCTAGGTATAACACTGTCTTAAATAATAAGATAAACAAAGTCTGGAACATTTTAAAAACTGGTATCAAACTAAGTCTTGTAAATTTTGGTATAACTGATCCTAAGAAAATGGAAGAAACATTAAATTTTATTTTTCTTACTGCAAAAGATATATTTACACGTGTAGGTATAATAACCAAAATTTTAACATACAAACTTTTCATAAAACGTTAGTTTTCCACTATAATGTAGAAAGGTATATCCAATATTCTTCCTGTAACTGGGATAAATTCAATAGTAGGTGGTCTCCCTATCAAACTCTTGTCGACGT